AAATATTATATCTGAACAAATCGGTTACATGGCTATATGTTGTAGTGACCCAATTCGGCCGATCCGAATAATAAAGTGTAAAAAGCGGACAAAGTCTGCATGAAATATCTCATAAACTGAGGAACTAGTTTGCGTTCAAACAGACGTACGGACAGGCATGGCTATATGAACTCCGGTCATCGTTCTGATCCATACGAGATACAATCATCCGGACAACATATCTAAATCATTGTCGTCGCTTGTCTCGTACAGATTATTACAAGTAATGGAGTAATGTATGTAGGTATGTTGCATACGAGGACACTAGGTTTGGTTACACTAAGAACACAAAAACTTGTCCATTAGGCTTCGTTCTCTAACTATATCGCTTCTCTAATGAACCTCATTATGTTTGTGACTTTGGCGTCGGTCATTCAGCAGCAGAGTACCAAAACTCGGAATCGTAACACTATTCAAAGTAGGACAGTATCATAAAAGATGTATGAACATTTCCTCTTTCTCAGTATTCTTGAACCTTTTCCCATTGGGGGCCCATAGTCCCCTAGCATGCCATCCCATCAAACAATCGCCTGTCAAGTTTCCTATCGAATGTAAGAAGACCACGAAATTTTACAATCCTTATTTATAAAAACAGTTTGGAACCACCTGAAAAAAAAGCTTAATATACAACGAAGTGCGATGTATGGATGCCACATGAATTAACGGGAAAAAACTTCATGAATGAAGTTTCCATCTGCGAATCGCTGTTGAATCGTGTATGGTAGGTAGTTGGTGATAAAAAATAGATCTCTTACAGCAACGTCAAGTGAAAACGGTCGTGGTCGAAGGGCCAGAATTGATGGCGTGGAAGGATTTGTTGTGTGTTTGTTGAGATTGGCCATGATCATCCACTATGAGCTGCTTCTCTTCGGTCCAACTCTTGATTCGGACCTGTACTGTCAACAGTTGGATTGTCTGAAGGAAGCTAACGCGCCATAGTGCCCAGTTTGACCAACAGGAGGGTAATTGTTTTCCATCAGAACAGGCCCAGACCACACGCACATGGCTAGTGACTCGCCAGAAGCACCGAGAGCTTGGTTGTCAGATTCTTATGTATCCATTTTATGTTACTGTTTTTGTCTGTTGCGTCTTATTTGGATGGTGAAAAATTGGGCTCAGGAGAAGCCTGTAAAAATCATTTGTCTCAATTGTATGCCAATAGGGATAATGACTTCTTATGAGAGTGGCATTATGACGTTATCTTCAAAGTGGGAAAAAGTTATCGAACGAAACTGTGCATCGTAGATTTTCGTAGACTCAATATGTTTTTCAATAAAATTTACTCTTCTTTTGAAAAACATGCTTTGGATTTTTAGCGAAAAAAAAAGTGTTTGCGTAAATTTAATTATAAAAATTACCTAAAAAACTAAATACACAATTTCTTCCAAATTATTTATTGTAATTTTGTGATCGGATAGATATTTCAAGAGCTATCAGGAGTTTCTTCTAGAGGCTGGAAAATAGACTCATTTTTTTAAATTTATTGTAAGAATATTTAACTATTTTATTGAAGTATAAAAAAATATTCTTCAGTTTTTATTTTGCTACAAAATGGCGGTGATAAAGTCCATGATTTAACACATGTTTTTTGAAGGGCGTCCACGTCCACGGGAGAACCGATTTATTCGAAAAGATGAAACCTACAACAGAAAAGCAAAAAGCTTGGTGATGCACAAACTATGGTCCTTGGAAGTACGTACGGATTTATTTTTTTTTTATTTTGTGATAGCGGCACACTTTTTTTTAAAAAGGTGGTTTTTTGACTAAAAAATTCGCACTAAATTATTAAGAAAAAAAACGGTTTGCACATAATCCAAATACGGCTTTGTACTACCAAATAACAATGTGTTTACGAAGCTACCATCAAAATACCAGATAAATTGATGCGAAAGGGTTCGTAATCTGCCCTCCCAGTTTGAAAAATGTGATTTTTAGAAAAACGCGTTTAAAGTGTTGATTGTACTCCGCTGCAGCAAAATAAAAAGTTCAGCTATTTGAAATATATTATTCATTTTAAAACCAATTTCATATCATTTCTAGGACCCAAAGGTACCCTGTGAGTAAAGAAATAGCGTTTTTCACAATCCTAGAGTGACTTTACCCTTTAATGGATTTTGCAATCTAGGTACAGCCAATAAGAGCAGAATGAGGCGACTCAGCAATATACGTCAGTACGAAGGCTAGGCAACTCTGTCGAAAATTTCGCTAAGTCTCGAATTTTCAGTTAAGGTTTTTTCGTTAGTGTGGGGAAATGTTGGAAAATTGCTAATAAATATAGAAAAATACGTTTTCCATAATTACCTACAATACATCAATAAATTTCCAATTCAATAACAAAGCCAGTTTTAACTGATCTAAAAAATTTCCATTTAACAAAAAAATAAAATAAAAATAAAAAAATTATTTTACAAAATTTCAGGCAGTTAGGTTACTGAAAATAAGAGGAAAAATCTACATTTGGAAACGTGTTTTAATCGTTTTCTGTTTCTTATTAGCTCTAATAAGGCTTCATGGTGTAGTAATTTGTCGACCACAACTCTGTTGAAACTCTCTTCAAGACAAAAATTTTAACTCTTGAGCTCTAAATTTATTCATTTAAAATAAAAAATTTGTTTGAAATTATATTGATACTCGCACTTAATCGAATTTATTATTTGTTTGTTTTTTTTTTTATATATTTTTTTTAATTTACTCAATTTGTATTGTGAACAACCCAGTCGAAAAAAATTCTCACTAGCGCTATTTTTTTTATCACAAATGTGTAATAATAAATAATAAATAATGAAAATTCCGTTTAATGTCACTTTCGAAAATAATTAAAACCATGGGCTGTTTGTAAAGGGTGATTTTTTAAGAGCTATAGGAATTTTTTTCAAATAAAAGCACATAAAATTCAGAGAAATGTTTGAAATATTTATTTGAATCGATAGTGCGGTCCATATAATGTAATTTTTGAAAATTATTTCATGCAAATGTTGACCGTGACTGCGCCTCAAGTGGTCCATCCGCTTAGTCCAACAATTCGGCCGCTTTCTCACGAATAAATGCTTCAATGTTGTCCTCTAATGCGTCAATTGAAGCGGGCTTGTCGGTATAGACATTAGATTTAACATAGTCCGACAAAAAATAGTCTAATGGCGTTAAATCGCACGATCTAGGCGGCCAATTAACCAGTCCCGAACGTGAGATAAAATGTTCACTGAACTCGCCTCTCAATAAGGGCATTGTTACGCGTGCTGTATGGCATGTGGCATTGTCTTGTTGAAACCACATGTCATGCAAATCAAGCTCTTGCATTTTGGGGTAACGCTCACCATTCACAGTTACGCCACGATTCGCATCATCTTTGAAGAAGTACGGTCCAATGATGCCACCCGCCCAAAAACCGCACCAAACTGTGACTTTTTCTGGATGCATTGGTAGCTCTTGCAATGCTGCTCTCTGATCTTCACTCTAAAATCGTCGATTCTTCTCATTTACGCACTCATTACGCCAAAATGAGCTTCGTCGCTGAACACAACGCTGATGAACGAAGCGCGCGATGAACGCATTTTGATAATAAAATTCAATAATTTGCAAGCGTTGTTAGTTTGTAAGACGATTCATGGTTGAATTATATACCAAACTGAAGATGTTTGACGGTGATATAAAACGTGAAAAAATCACCCTTTAATAATTTAGATCTGAACGAAAATGCAAAATCTTATTCCGTAATCCTTTTGAATTTCCCATACATGACGTTATTTATCTGTATCCCGCGTTGTATAAGTCCAACACAGTTTGGTCACGGTTCCACTAGATGGCATTAGAAATATGACATTCCGCACTAAAAAAAAGCTTGTCTGACAGTTTTATGATTAATTGATACAGTTTTTTTTTTTTGGATGTGCGTCAAAGATGGACACTATATTTTACAGTCTTTTTTCGATAAGGGCGAAAACGCAAGCCAGGCGACTGATACTCTTACAGTCAAACATGCACAATTTCGGTTTCATTCCGGTAGCTTTGATGTAAAAAATGCTTCACGTTGTGGAAGGTCAATCTTCGAAAATGCCGTTAAATTCATTGACATTTTCGAGTCCGACCGCCATGTAAGCACTGTTTTGATTGCCCAAGAGCTAAAGAGTGCAAAAAAACCGTTTGGAACCATTTGAAAAATGCTGGATATGAAAAGTGGAAAAATGAAAGGTTCCATGCAAAAATAATAGATTTCTTTTCACTACACCTAATATTAAAATCTATGTTCGAATTCGAGTATTCAAATAATTTGTTTTTTTTTTTGTATCTCGATTTTTCGGAAATTTTGGTTTAATACAATCCGAAGAAGGCCAAGCTTGCGGATCGAGCTCGTTTGTTTAAGGTCATTATTTTATGAAGCCCAAGTTTTTCTTAAATTAAAATCGGAATATTGGGATAAAAATGCTGGTAGCTATGGCCACGCAAAATACTCCACTTTAATATCTGCACTTTTTCTGATACTAATTTCATTAGCAATCGCAGCCACATGCAAAAGCTCATTTGACATAATTTTTATTTTATTTTTATTTTTTTTTTTCGTATATCTTACAACATTCACTAAACTAAAAGTCAAAATTGCACTGTTTCGTTGCAAACTTTACTTGCTTTTCACGTCAACAAACGGAGTTTAAGGACAATTGGTAGCAATAACTATCAATTAGTGCTGGCCAACGTGACGTCAAATAGAACTAATATTTGACAGTTCGCATCGGATTTGTCTTTTATTCGAGGATTCGAATATGTCAACTTTTGTCGGAATTCAGAACAGCCAGGTAGTTTTTGATATATTTATTGATGGACTTTCGTGGCTATTTCTTGCCAACGGCAACCCTTTTCCACATGTCTTACATTAATCTGGCAACGCTTTATTTATATATACATCCATACATAACATCAATGCATTAAATCAATTATATTTCTATGCCTTTCTCCTTAACACTCACCTGGCTCCCCACACGCTGCGGCGATATCAGACCAAGCACTTTCATAAGCAGAACGTTTATCACCAACACACCACGCTTGTGAACGATCATAAAGACATGGATGTTGCTCTACAGCGCGACACAAGCGAATATTGCTTTGGTTTATTGAGTTATTCATTGCAAGGCGCAGCGCTGGCTGAACTTAAATTGGATCAGAAACACCGATAAATTTACGCTAAATTTCTTAGTAACAAACGCAATAAACGCAACGTACTAAAGACCGGCGTTTCAGTCACACACGCGCACCCACACACAAGCACATGTGTACAATTAACAACCTGCAAATGATTTTCACTACTTTTTTTTATCGATGTTCACAGCACAGGCACAGTACAACATGAAAACTTCAACAAGTAACCACAATAACAAATGTTGTGTCAGCGCTTGACAGTAGCTGCAGAATGACAGTTGTCAAAAACAACGCCGGGTTGCTTCGATTATCACAGGTCTGCACGGAAGTGCGTGTGTTTGTGTGTTTGTTAGTGATATTTTAATACCTTATGAAAATACATTCGATAATTTCACGTCGTTAAATCGTTAACACGTTTTAGCGTATAACAGCTACATACATACATATTTTCGTTCACGCTTGAATATAATTTCCTCACTTTACTAATTTGTACTCGCCCATTTGCTTGTATAGGCATTTTAAATTAAATACTCGTTTCTTTTTGTTATATTTATGGTCTTCGTTTCGACAGCATTGCCACATTCTGTTTTCCGAGTCTGTTGCTGTAGCTGCGCTAGGCGTGCTCAATGCAGAGTTTGCCAGTTTTGTTTGATGGCAGTGCTGTGTAGTGGCGGTTTGAGAGGCGCTGTATCGTGTTGTGGTTGTTAAATGTCAACTGCTTAACACTTTCAAAAGCAATGAAGCGGTTTGAAGCAACGAAACTTGTACAATAAGAACTTGTGAGCGATTGTATGTATTGTGAATGCTCAGTTTTGAGTGCAGTATTTAGATAGTTTTGAAAATTAATACATATTAAAGGTTAGTGTTAAATTTCCGTTTCTCCTACACTAAAAACAAGGAAATTTTTTTTAAATAACTTTTTTGCCTCTCCTCGTCAGTGCAGCGAAAGATACGTATGTACATATATCGATATATATTTATTTATCGATGTATATAAATCTGTCAAAAGCAAATTTTATTGACTAAAAATAAAAATACGAGTGTTTTTCAATATCTGGTATCAGAATTAGTGCACGAGAACAGAAACCCAAAAAAAGATATAATTTTTTTTTAATTCATATCTTTTAAAATAACATTTGTGTAATTCCACACTAAAATTTATACATTACGCTATGTAGAAGCATGACATTTTTCGGTGGAAATACATACATACATATGTAGTTTTTTAGTTATTTATTTTTTCTATAGGGAAACATGAATCGCTGTGAAACATTGAAATGGCGCAATATGTACATACTTACGAATATTTACATATGTACATATGGCTGTATGTCTATGTTTGTAAAGATGTCGAACCGAATGGCAATCAGCAACAACCTAAGTCTTACTATTTTTTATAGCAACGAATAAACTAAAATAAAAAGAAAGTAGAAGCAGAATATAACGGATTTCTGTAGCTATTCTGGATCTATGTCTACCAAATTTTGTTGGCTACCTATAGTATATTAAATCTTCAAGAACTTAATTTCATTTTATTATTTTTCAATTATTTTTTCTTATATTTCATCGAAATTGGTACCGTCAAGGCTCTTATGTTCTTATTTGGTCATAAGTCAGGACTTGAAAGCCTTGCGGCAATGTTAGGTATCCTTATGAGTTTTCTGAGTTGAAACCCCTGCCGAAGGAACACGGCATTTAGGGAAATAGTCTATCCTCAGTTGTGATAGCAGCAGCCATTGCAAAAACGTAAAAGTCTCGCATCTCAGTTACCATCTTCTATGGCATTCACTTTATCTATGCAATATGCAAAAGTCAATCAAACTGTTCGAAAATTAATTTTTCTCCCCTTTATCGACCAACTTCGAAGTTAATTTGATGCCAGAAGGTACTACTTTTCCATCCTTCATTTAATGTGTACCGCTTCCAGACCCAGAAGCTATCGTTGTAGATTTTACAAACTCGACTTATGTAGATTTGTAGTTTATTTTAGTTTTTTGTCGAGCAGGAGAGCTCCCTTTAATGCAGCCTTGTTTCGTAATGCAAGTCAGAAATAGCTCCTTTTGAAGTGTTGTGGCTTGTAGATACTCTCGTGGTGCTATCTTAAAATAACGCCTTACATAGACCCGTTGGCCTTTTGTAGTGCCAGTTGTGGGTTCAATTTAGTGCTAGTTTAAAAGAACGTTGATAGACAATTTTGTCATTTCATTTAGTCCATTCAACTCCGAAGCTTCTATATGTTTAAGATGAGTTCTGGACAGAGTACGTATTCCAGCGTCTCACTCATACCTTCATCCCCGCACTTTCTACAGGTGTCGCTGTTACTAATGTTCAATCCTCTATTGTGTAATGCCAGTAGATTTTGACCTGCCATTAACGCAAAAACTGTCTTGCAGCCCTTCCGAGATCACGTGGCTAAAAGGGGCTTTCTTTAGCCTTGCAATAATCTTGTCGCTCTTTCATTATTTCTCTGCTCAGCAGATACTGATCTTTCACACATTAGCGGTAGGAATGGCACGGTCTTCATATTTAGTTTTTGGATTTGGCATGATCTGATTCTATATCATAGTCGTGTATTGGGAATTGGGACATGTTTCGGCCGGGAACTCCATTAAATTCTCAATTTCGAGAAAGTCAGCATGGTATCTACCTCAGATTACCTGTCTCTCTCTCTCATCATCATCATCATCAAAATGTTTTTCAAACGCCTTTTCTGAAACCAACTTCTGAATTCTATTGTATCGTTGTCTTCTTTCCAACAACTCGAGGCAGTAATTCTCGAAAGACTGCAAAACTGTCATATTTTTGTAAACACTCGCTCTATCGAACACTACATAAAGTAATAAAGAGACTTTTCCTCGATTTTGATGTAAGTTTTCTGGTCTCGGTCCAGATGGAAGACGCTATTCCGAAGCTTATCAACTGGTTTTCAAATCACATTAATAAATCTATGTCTCATCATTAGTATATGTAGCTGATCTTACTTTATTTGTTACACACATTCCTCGAGGCTATCCATGCTTTCTGGACTAAGACCGTGTGGTAAGCGCTTCTCTCTATATTGTGGAGTAACTCGGCTGTGGCGACTTCGCCAGGGAATTTTCACTTTTATGTTCAATATTCTTCTCGGGTCGACTTAAATCACTAGCTCACCTTTCTCTCCGGTTTTAAGCTACAAGATTGGGCATTATTCAGTTTTATCCTGCCAAGGATGTGCACCTCCGCTATCGTTAAGAGCGCTACAAAACTACAGCCCACTATTCTTTGAAGCAGCGCCCTGCTAGAGGCCTTGAAACGTCGTCACAGCTTTTTTATCTATAAGAGCGAGGGTTCGTGTTAGGATTTTATGAGTATTTTATTTACCTCTCGTCACGATTTTTCTTTCCTTGATGGGCTCATGATCATTTGGCGGTAGAAGAATATATTTACAGAAATATTATCTTTTCCGATGAAACTCTATCTCATCTCGTCGGCTCCATTAACCAACAAAACAGCCGTAATTGGAGACGTACCCATGGGAAAATCAATACACACACAAAAAGAGATTGCTAGAGGTGCGACTTGTAGATCGGCGGCATCATTGAGCCGTTTTCCTTCCAAAAATAAAGAAGGTTTTGCCGTCGTAATCCTCAGAGACTATTTGTTTCCAAATCCTGAAGATGATGACCCATAGAGGGGCATACAAATTGTCCTGTTGGTAGACTTTCAAGAGTTTACCCGTGGTTTATGGTAGGCTTATCGTAAGAGGCAACTAAAATAGTTGCCCCAATGGTTGGGTCTTTATTACTGGAACGACCCCGATTTTTATACGGCTAAGGACTACTTTGGGGAATATTTTTTACGATTACAGCAACACTAACTACAACATGGCCACACAATCGACAATATGTTGAAAATTTGCGTTGATGGAATGGGCTATATATGTATATATATATGTACATTGTATATGAATGAAGTGTTGTTCCTTTATTAACAGAAATGTTGAGGCATTCAATTTTTTTCTTTTTATAATTTTAAAACACTGAAGGGGATCTGAAGCCTAAGGATTTTTTCTCATCTACAGAGTTATATTATTGAAAATTTGGTGCAACATAACAGATAAATATACACATACATACAACCAAGGCTGCATTGTAACGGTAAATTTCGCGTTAATAAAAAAATTTCTATCGATTCGATTGTAATATTGGTAAATGTTATCGTTAAAGCAGTTATCAAAATAAATTTTATTTCGCTTTACCCGAGGCAAAATGCTGTCGTTAATGATAAATCGTTAACAGACAATGTTAAACCCTAACAGATGATGTTAAACTCTAACAGATGATGTTAAATAATTAACAGACAATGTTAAAGTTTAAAATTCAAGTGTGCTGTTAATTTCATAGCAAACAGCCTTTTAAAAATTAACGTTAACAAGAGTTTGTGCGGTTTCAACGCTAAAAATTTAATTTCCTTGAAATAACATGTCGCCGAAACGAAATAAAATTATTTCGCTAAATTTATTTTTCCTGTTAAGAAAACGAAATGACATCGTTTCGTTAGATGAGGATCTCTGCTGTTGTACATATGTAAGCAATCAGCTTATGCCACACATGTTACATTGGCGCTCAAACTGCTGGCACTTATTATACGAGAGGTGTACGGTAAATTGCGATTATTTGGTTATGGCAACGTCGACACTTGTGCACTAACACTTGTACAAGCAAACAGATAAAACCCCTCACGCAGGTATTTGTTAAACAAAATTTCAAATACGCGGGCCTTGTTGATGTTGTTGTAAGCGTTGTTTAGAAAGGTGTAGAAATAGCGAGAAAACAAGTTAGGCGAATGAGTAGATAAGAATAAAGGTAAGATCTAAGCAAAGTATTCTGTGTGGCATATGAGAGAGTGAAGCGAGAGCGAGAGATTGGTTTATTAGTGAGATCAAGAATGAAAAGGGAATCGTTATTTGTCTTTCACAACATTGCACTGGTGATTATTTCAAGTGTTGTTGTTCAGCCCTAACATACTGTTTTGACGCAGCTGTTGAACGCTGCGATAACAATGTAATAGTAAGTATGTACATATCTGTATAATGTTGCTACTACTACCGCTATATTGGCGCAAACTGAACGATAAACGAACGAAAGAAAGTGAGCTGCGATTATTGAAAATAAAGTTGTGCGTGTATTTGTGAATTTTTGGCAGAGCAGCTGCAGCAACCGCTAGCGTAGCTAAGCAGCGTGCTGCGCAGCTATGTATCTATGTATGTGTGTGGTTACTCTTAACATGTGTGCGTTCGTGTACGTGTTTGTT